TCAAGACGACCCAGATGTTCATCAAGAAGTGTCTATATCTCTTTCTCTTTCCATGTCATCCATTTTTGCACTACAAAAATAAAATAATAAAAATTAATTTTTTTATTCTTAATATTTGTGCATACAATATTCATTAAAAACATCTTCATAATTTCGAAAAAAATATATTCATGTAAACACTATCTTAAAAAAATATAGAACATAATTTCAAAAAAAGTATTTTCATAAATTTTAATAAAAAATTAAAAATATTGTGGAGCACATAGTTGAGAATATATAAACACAATCTTAATAAATCAAATAAAAATGAAAACTAATGAAAACATAACATCTATAATCAATATTACGAATATTTAAAAGCTAAGTGAAATGCAAATAATAATAAAAAATACCTGAGAAATGTTGAATGTTATGTAGTAGTGTAAGAATAGGTTAAATTTAAAGAGTGAGTAACGTGGTGGGTGAAGGATGATTTAAATAAAAAATATGAGTGATAATTAAGAAGATGAAGGGGTGGATGAAGTTGGATGGTTGGGAAGGAGGTGGTTGAAACGTGTGGTGGAGTGGAAAAGATGGAAAGTGGAAAAGGTGATTAAAGTAAATTTATTGGAAAGTGGAAAAGATAGATGATTTTCGCATGTACTACATGTAAACCTATTAAAAAATCAATCGGCATATACTACAGGTGATTTCCCATTGTAAAATTTACTAACAGTTTTCTTTTTTGAATTCGCAGGTACCATGTGTGAATTTCTTTAGGAGGAATTTGTTGTTAATTAATTTTTTCTTTGGCTAAACTCTACCATAGGTCCTTTAACTTTATTAACTGTTCACGATTGGTCCTTCAAGTTTTTAAAAGTCCATAAATAGTCCTTCAACTTTTTGAGTAATGCACGATTGGTCCTTCAAGTTTTAAAAGTGCATAAATAGTCCTTCAAGTACACGTCAGCCCTCCAGATGAGGTCCTTTTGACAGTAAATGTTAAAAGCTAAATGAAATACTAGCTCAATATAATACGGAGTAGTCGTACCTAGTAGAATTTACTCGTATTATATGAAATTATTATTTCGTTTAACTTTTAATATTTGCTGTCAAAAGGACTTCATCTGGAGGGCTCACGTGTACTTGAAGGACTATTTATGCACTTTTAAAACTTGAAGGACCAATCGTGCATAACTCAAAAAGTTGAAGGACTATTTATGGACTTTTAAAACTTGAAGCACCAATCATGCACAACTGATAAAGTTGAAGGACGAATGATGTGGATTTTAGCCTTTTTCTTTTTTCCGTGTAAGGGAAACCACCCAATAATGCTGGAGTCACCTAGTTGGAGACTCGCAATTGCACAACATCAATCATTCAATCCCTTTCATCTCTTACGTTGAGTAGTGACATTTGCGGACGAAGACTGGGTCTCAATTCATCGCTAGCTTGTAATGAAGACCCCATCTCCACTAACGTGCCGTAGAAACGCGGTGGCTGTCTCGTCTTTATGGGTACAGGGGGGAGAACTGTTGACGACGCCGCCGCCGCCGCTACGCCCATCCTGCAGCATCATCTCGTCCATGGCTCCGTCGATTACAAGGGCCAACCTGCCACCAGATCCAGATCCGGCCGGTGGAGATCTGCTTCATTCATCATAGGTAATTCAATTCCCCCAACTTCCGACCCAATTTATAGTCTGAGTTCGCCTAAAATCGGATTATTTTTTATCATTGTTGTTGTTGTTGTTGAATCTTATCAGTTCGGTTTTAATGAACTTTAGTATTTTTTCCGTGTTAGTTGTGGAGATGGCAGAGAGATTTGCTTACTACGGGATAGGTTTGAACCTGATAAGCTATCTGACTGGCCCGCTGGGCCAGTCCACTGCCACAGCCGCGGAGAACGTGAATGCCTGGACAGGAACTGCGTCTCTTTTGCCTCTCTTGGGTGCATTTTTGGCCGACTCTTTTCTTGGCAGATACTGGACCGTTGTCATTGCCTCCTTACTCTATGTCGTGGTTAGTACACAATAGCTGCATTGTTTTGAACCTAAAGGCATCAATTTGTCTCTAGATGGTAGGCTTGTAGTGGTTTTTTGTGCTTGATTCGTCTCTTCATGCAACATGAGTTTTATGGTCATATGCTCTGACAAGGAGCACAACAGCGTGCCGATCCATGGTCTTAGTAGCTCATAGTGCCTCAAGAGTGATGTGGTCGAATCTAGTACAGTCAACATTCTCGCGCCTTATGTTGGTCTTTTTATAAGCTGTCGGTCACTGGGTTGACCCCGGTAGTGGATCACCCACAGCAGCGCTTGATGTCTGCCTAGTCACAAAAGAGAACCCTTGTCCTACTTTTGATTCACTACTGCAAGGCAAAGGCAACAAACTTGAATGAAACTTATTTACTGTTAATATCCAATGAGCTCTTTATTCTTTATGAAGCTATGCAATAACAAAAGAGCTAGAACTAATGTCCTTGAGAAAGTGGGTAACATTTTTCAATAGACTTGGAGAATACTTGTTGATTTAACTTTTCATACGCTTTTGCTATATGTTGAAATGTGAAAAACACAGTTATTTTCTAGTATATAGTAAAAAACCAAAAATCATGGTCATACAAATTGTAGCTTTCTTTACACACAACTTGGTGCGTTGTTTACCAGATTTAAGGTCAAAGGTCTTAGATAGGGTTGGGGATGCTTGTTGGGCTAACAGGGAAGGAGCTAATGGCAGTGGCTGTTTAGACATTAGGTAGCATATTTCGGTGGGGGTCATGTATGCTGCCGTAGCTGGCATGAAAACTTTTGGATGATAGATGATGGTCTTACAGATTGGGGCGGGTGGGGGGGGGGGGATGGGGAGAAGGTAGCTAGCAAGTTAGGAGAGAATAGATAGAACTCAGAGTTGAGAGTAAGTTGTGAGTTGAATTATGAATAGCATGTCCCTTCTCCACATAAGGGAGGGTAGATATAAAGTGATACAAGTGTGGCGAAACCCCTTAAAGGCCTAAACTACTGGCTATGATATTGGGCTAAGCCCAACGGGGGTGACCCATTCGAGGCAGCAACAAACTACAAACAAGCAACAAAAGATTAAGTAAAGCTAGTTTGTTAAGGACTTAGCCGAATAACATGAGTGCTGGGGGCGGTATGCTGACCAACATGAGGACATGGTCAGGAATGCCAAACCCTAAGGGTCTTTTTCTGTGCTGCCTTGAACTCATATCCTTAAAGCCCAAAATCCTATTAGTGGTCCCATCACATGTATGACAAGCTCAGCGGCTGGGTTCAAGTTATTCATCAGTAGGAGGACTAACTTACAATATTTCTTATACTATATCTAAAAACATTAACACATATGCGTCTTACACAAATTATATGTTATAAAACATAACTATTGAAATCATATGCTTTAGATTTTTGTGTTACATTAATTTGACGAAATCTTAGTAATTTAAATGTACTTTGTACTATATGAGCTAAAAGATGGTCTATACATTGATTTTAAAAAGATGGTCTATGTGTATATATAGATATTCGAATATCATTCAAATTGAATATGCCTCCATATGTATTTGTTTAATATTTGAACCATAGCTAGTATTTGAATTTGTATTTGTATTTGAATAAAGAGAATTTGAATCATTATATTCGAATACGGATCACGAATCAAATTTAAAGTAGTTGATTTGTTTACACCCCTAATTAGGAGTTCGTAGAGACGTCCCTTTAGAGTTTTTTTAACAAAGCACAATTTTATTATCACACTTTAAAACAATACGAATGAGCCTACAAAGCAGAAAAACTGTTAAGAAGGAAAGAACATTAGCCTTCTGTATTCTGTAAGTTTAGCCTTAGCTCCAATAAAAGTACTACTATAAAATTTGATCAATCTAGTGCAATCCAAGATGCTCATTTCTTTGTTAGAATGAACCTTCGGATTCCTAGCTTTCCAAATGATGTAGTAGGAAGCAGCAAACACTGCAGCTATACACCTCCTAATCCTAAGCTTGATCTAAGAATGCGCTCCTAACTTGCTTCAAGGGAATTAGCTGTAAATTCATAACCACTCCAACTAGTAATCTCTTTCAACACCTTTACTGTGAAAGCACAGGTGCAATATAGATGATTTGCCTCATTCTCACCAATACTCAGTACACAAAGAGTGGAAAAACGTCCATTTAGAGTTATAGAGTTCTTTTAAAGGCTTTGTGGGAGTGCTGTTGTCAGTTGGACTCGACTAGCTTTTTTAACACTCACTACATGTCACTAAAAGTTGGGAGCCCTCACAAACACTACCTCTCTGCTCCTTGGATAAAGGTAAGGTCTATATACATCTTGATCTGGTTTAGAGTGGGATATAATGGGTATGTTCTGTTTACTTTCTCTCTTTTTTAAACATGGTATTAAAGCCAATTTAGAATATATCTCACCTTTCCAGAACATATACTAGCTTTTCTCTCACAAGATATTTCACAGAAATTTCTTAGTCATTCCACAGGCTTTAGGGTCCACATATTTGAACCAGGTAACAGCACCTACAACTACAGAGATCCGGCGACCTTCAATGAGTCAATTGGGCAAAACTACGGTTGAAAATCGCTATTTATGAAGACAAAACTAGGGTTGAAAACTTAATCCCCAAGTTAGGCCCAAGCCCACATAGAGAATTAGGGCCGGCTAAATTAAAAAACCTAATTTACTGCCATATGGGTCGAACCAAGACTAGGGCCGGCTGCCCTTCTTGGTCAAGCCTCCACCCTCAATTCACCCAACAATCTCTCACTTGGAGGCTCGCAAGGTAGTCAAACTCTAAATTCTACGTAGGATCGATAAGCATAGTGAAGATCGTAACATCGTAAGCATCATGTGATTTCATGTGACTTCACTATTTCAGAAGCATCAAGTGATTTCAAGAAAACAGTCCCCTTGGGACTATGAACTAGAAAATTAATCAATGCTCTTTTTTTTTATGTCAGACCAACCATCACTCATTATCGTGCACCCTGTCTTCTTCCATTCGCTCCTATGTTCATTGACAATGCGTTCTGTCGACTCCACTTCTTGTTTTAAATACTTTACTCTGATCTCATGATATGACGGTGGCTTGAATCCGGGTCCATGTTTTGTAATCAAATCACACATGATACGAAACTCTTCACTTCTTGCCGTGTTGAATGCTATGGCATTGTTGAAGTAATATCTCGAAATTGCTAGACATGCATCTTCTCTCAAACTCTTCTTGTACATGCTATTAATGGTGCTTTGATTGGTCGCCCTTTTTTTGGAAAAAGTATTCGATCCATCACCAACCTCGTCATTGATTTTTCTTTTGAAACCAACATTTTCTCAATCATCATCATCGTCTTCATCCTCTTTTCGCCTTTTCTCTTTAGAGGTAACTACAATGTCCCACATTTCTTGCCTCAACTTATCAGAAACACTTTTGCAAGCACCCACATCCTTTTGTGTCCCTGCTAAGTGATGCTTCATACGGAACACCCCCCCGGTTAGACTTTGCTACAATAATTACATTGTAGCTTTCTATTGCTAGAATCAATTGCTTTGCAATGTTCCCAAGCAACATCTGTTTTCTGCCCAGGAGCATTTTTTGCAATTGGTCTACTAAATGGAGTGGCTGAAGCAGGGATTGACATTGTAAGAGAGTAGAGGCAGAAAGAAGAAGCCTGCGACAGACACAGAGGATTCGCAGGAGAAAAAAAATGTCGCTGGAGAAAAAAAAAAGAAGAAGGAAGACTGATACGCAGAGAAGTCTCGATTCCCAAATAAATAGAAGAAGATACGTCTGATATGCTGCTTTCCTATTCAAATTGGGAATCTATTTACGCTGCTTTCCTATTGAAATTGGGAATAAATAAAGGGAGATACCTGTTTCCGATAGAAATTGGGAGTCGCAACAGGCGCGACTATCCAATTGCAGTTCCAGAATCGATTGGAAGGAGATTTCGAAGAGACACTATTTGGACTTCTCAGACTCGGCGATTGTAGCCAATCCTGCGTTTCCACGAGCCGAATCGTCGATCCGAACGAGTCCATGGATTTCACGATTCTGCAGCCGTCCCAGATCGGTAAGCTACTGCCGATCCTCAAAATCGTAGAATCGTACGAGTCAACTCGCGAGTTTGACTACCTTGGAGGCTCGAACAACGCCCCTTAGTCTTCATCATCTATAACTCTTGTAATCCTCATTTTCCACTAGTTGCAGCGGCCTTCTCTTCAGTTATCTGAAGGCCTGTTGAAGCTCCCAGCTCCCACTGAGCTTCAACTCATCAGTCACAACCCGTGACTCGTTCTCTTTCTCTGCTAGCTCCGAGTGTGATACATCTATCACTCTCATGGCTTCTAAGACAAACTGAGAACCTACATTCTCCAAACCAAGCAAATAGTTAACAAGAGAAACTTTCAACGACGGAATACTAGTTTTCCTAACCCACTGTCAGATTGGGACTGAAGCACGACCTGTGCTCCCACTGTCACAAAATTCACAAAATTCCCTGACTGGTTGAACCTTCCGAGCTAGTTCATCCTGAATCTGTACTCTTTCTCTGAGTTTCTCCTTTGCAAATGTGACCCTCTTTAGCACACGAGATTCTTTGAACTGGACCTTTTCTTTTACAAAAACTGGACTTGCTCCTTCTAGAGGTATCTCGACCATATATAACGAACTCTTTTCTTGCCACGAGCAACAACAAGATTTCCTTTGACCACCTTCCACTGTCCACCACCAAATTTAACATCAAGACCCGAATCATCCAACTGCCCAACTGAGATAAGCATCCTCTTCAAGCTTGGAATGACTCTGACGTTTTTCAAAGTCCAAGTGGCTCCAACTGAAGTTTTCAAGTCAATATCCCCCATGCCCGTAACATCCAGAATTTC